TAAGAGGGAGAGGGAACGATGGGGCGATCACGCACCGGAATGGTTGAGAATGAGTGATGAAATTGTAGTGCGAGTGCGAGTGAAAATGTGGCTCCATTGCAAGTACATATAGTCATATACAATAAAAATCTTATCGTGGGTCAAAATTACCTTCTTTTTAAATTAACTTTATTTATTTTATATTTTTTAAAGAAGAATCTAGCATTTTATTTGTTATATAACTCACTAGAAAGTGTTTGAAACAAATAGTTAAAATATCGAGTATTGTGAGAATGTAAATCAATTCTTCTATTGATTATTGAGTATTTAAAATCTTGTTGATTATTTATTATTTTTACACAATATAGTTATGATTCACAACATAACATGGCTCATATTGTTTTGTTTAGAAATACATGAGAAATATAAATAATATCAAGAAAACTTTTAAAAACTAAAATATAGTTGGTTTATATAAAAATTGAAAAAAGTGTTTGTATTATTTGTGTTTAAGAAGTACATAAAAATATCTGATGGCCCAAAAGTAGCATAACAACATATACCATTCGCCAATAACCACAATCTATCCCAATTCTATAAGTAAATTATACATCAATAATATCATAAAGTAATTATATTATTAGAGTCTGTGTTAGCTTTTTAGATAACGGTCATAATAAAGTAACAAAAGTTCTCTTGATCAAACAGAAATTATGAAGAAGAAGAAAATTATATTCAACAATTGGTTTTGGTTTCAATTTCATCGCTTTATTTTTTATGACAACATAAAAAAAATCATTATATTTTAGTTATTTTTATAATTTAATAATATAAATCAAAATTTTTCATTGAAATCACCAAAATAATATGTTATAACAAGTTAAAATAATCATAATAGAAATAAAATTATTAAAGATGAGTAGTTTGATGTATATTTTGATTCGAGTGGTTAAATGAAAAATAACCAAAACATATTAATGTTTATCTATCTTTTTGCTTTGATCCGTCATTTTTTAATCTTACACTTTACCATTTTGGTATTTTGTCATTAACCTAAAAGAAATACATGCAAATTTGTTTTTTATCTTTTATTAGTAATAACAAAAGTTATACGTATTCAAATCTAATGGCAAAACTACTGTAATAAAAAACTAGGATGATAAATATTATTAGTGTATGATTTATAGTCTTGTGTTTGTATTCTTATTTGGCCCTTTTGTATTTGGCCCATTTTTGATGTAATCGTGTATATATATAATCTTTTTTCAAAATTAAAAAGTTATGATTGTTTTGTAAGTGGAAGAGTATATTCTTACCTTTTATTAAGGAAGGGAATATACCTATGTCCGAACTAGCATATTCCCACCTACATTAACTCAACCATAATCCAACTAGTGTTACAAACGTGCCGTTTATAAATTTTAAGAAAATCCTAGCAACTAAATTGTGTAAAATTTAAAATAAATATATACATCTTAATGATGATATATAAAATAAATAATACCAATTTCAAAACACATTTACTAGAAATCTACAATGCTTAATATAAAATATATATAGTCAATCACCGTGTGTTTGATCCAACTGAAACAAGGATACCATATCTTATGGCATAAAGAATCATTACAACGAATCATCTTATAAAGTTAAAATGAATTATCTTCTGTCACATAAGCATAAAAGTATACATATACAAAATGTGACGAAAATATCGATCATTTTAATTAAACAGAATAAAGTACTACTCATTTGACACATAAAAAGTTATATCGATCTTGGGGTTCAAGTATGCCAATAATGATTGGCTGCAAATATCTGCAAAAAAAAGGAAAAAATCATTAAAAATGGGACAATTTGTCACCTTTAAGAAAAATATATGTTTGAATAAAGATCTCACACCTTCAAAACATGAAAAACTTTTATTTGAATGCTTTTGCTCGAGTCCAAACATGATGCACATGTTTTACCATTGAAACATATTTAACCAAAATAAAAGATAAGTAAAGTAGGGATAAAACTTTACTCTATGTATACTCATTAGGGTTAATGACCTAGAAAGGTAACGAACTTTGGTCTTTATCCACATTTAGGTAACTATGTTTTTTTCGTTCACATTTGACCATTGAACTTGTTTGACCTGTTCAAAATAGGGTAATATGACCGGTAATTAGCGGTAACATTACCCTATTATGAACAGGTCAAACAAGTTTACTGGTCAAATGTGTACGAAAAAAACATGATTACCTAAATTTGGACAAAAACCAAAGTTCTTTACCTATTTTGGTAATATTGGGTTCTTTATGTTAAGTGCAAGTAGTCATAAGATCCATTGATGTGAAATGAAATTGGGCTGTCCGGTCTTGTGTATGAGGAGATGGTTAAGTCTTGGGCCAACCCAGTTTAGGCCCAACTAGTTAGGGGTTAGGTTGTATACGCTTAAGGGGCTAGGTTGTATGTGTTTTTAAAGACCGAGCAACATAGCTTAGCCCATGACTAGTCGGGACTAAACTGGGTTAGATCAAGCCTAACCTAATTGTTCATTGATTGTCGGAGCCTGATCCCAGGGCACACAGTCCCTAAGACGGTTCTTGTCTAGTATTACCAAAACGGGTAAGAAACTTTGGTTTTTGTCCATATTTAGGTAACCATGTTTTTTTCGTACACATTTGACCAATAAATTTGTTTGACATGTTCATAATAGGGTAATATTACCGTAATTACCGGTCATATTACCCTATTTTGAACAGGTCAAATAAGTTCAATGGTCAGATGTGAACGAAAAAAACATGATTACCTAAATGTGGACAAAAACAAAAGTTTGTTACATTTTTAGGTCATTAACCCTACTCATTAGTATTTTTAGGAAGCTATTATTTGTACGTGTTTTACTTAACATACACCTCATTGATTTGACATAAACGTGGAAGGGTGTACCATAAGTAATTGACAAAACTACATGAATGGTACTTGTATTTGGTTGAAATTTGAAAATTATCACTTTGGTCTACCACCACCCCTCTTATACCAAGATTTCCACCATTCAACTAAGTGGCTCCTTGTTATATAAACTCATTAAATGAGTTTCCTTCCACCTATCTATGCCAACTTAATTTCCTACTTTTTCAAGTTTATCTTTCATTTGTATACCTGGTTTCAATATCTCATTCATCTTAACTCCAATTTATCGTTTCAAAACTTTCTTCAAGGAGAACACCATAACATTATTTATACACTCCATTCTATTACACTTCATTCTATAAAATCATAGTTTTTTAAAATTTCAAGACTATTTAATGATTTAGGTTTTTCTCTCTCCTCTGTAACCATTTTCCCTCTCATGTTGTCATAAATATATATGATTTATATTTTTTTTTCTTTCCTTTATAACCATTTTCTCTCTGTTGTCATTTAATATATATTTTTCTCCTATCATTTTTTCTTTCTATTTGTTTTATTCTAACTTGAATTTATATATTTCCAAATTATATATTGTATACTATATTTTATTTAATTAACAGACCATAATTTTTTTATTATGAATGCATGAGCTGTTGGCAATATAATCAATATGTACGATTTTTTTTTTGTATCCTTAATTTTGTGACATGTTTTTCTTTACACAAAAGTTGTTTTAACTGTAAAAGAAAAAAAAGCAAAACCATATAAGTTTGTGTGATGTTTAAATCCTTTTTCAGCAAATAAAACATATTTCCAAAATAAATCGTACCAATAAATGGTCCAATCCTTATTAGTTTAAAAAACGTTACAAGGGGTGTTTGTAATTATTTATCTAGTAAATGCATTTTTATTATATATATATATATATTATATATATATAATATATTATATATATATATATATATATATAATTTTTTGAGGTAGCATAACAAATTTTTTTAAATTTTTTTTTAAATAGTTGTATTAACATACGTAAAACACAATAAGTTAAATGACATAGATAGAAAAAAGTCATATTTGTTATTATTTATTTATAAACTATTATTTAAACAATATTAAGATTAATAAAAATTATTATTTGAAAATAATAAATAATAATTGAAAAATAAAGTTAGTAAAATGATTATGTTGTAATAAGATAATAAATAAAAGTTAGTCAAATGATTAGGGAACATAATAACCTATATAGATTAAAGTGTATTAGAATAGAGTGAAGTGTTTACAACAACACCCTTCGACAAAAAATCATATTTTCTTAATAAAATAAAATTATATTTTACGAAATGGCTTATAGTCTAACGGTATCAGGTGTTGTTTTCCTTCCTTAAGGTTGAAGGTTCAGGTCTTATGAATATAAATGAATTTAGGATTAGTTATGGAGTATGTTAGATTTGCCTTCAAAAAAAATATTATAATAAATTACAATTAATATGTTTCTTCATTCATTATTTCAAACTTTTATTTAAAAAAATATTTATTATTTACATTTTAATATTTTATTTTCTTTAATCAACACGTAGAATACACAGATTTTACACCTAGTTGTAAAATAAATTTGATACGTTGTTTTTCAAAAATCGTTACCTTTTATTGATCTAATTAAATTTAAATATTACAATGCATTTGTGGTTCTCTTTGACTCAAAAAGAAGCTTTCATATTCTTCCACATTTTTCAAATTAAATATTACAATGCATTTGTGGTTCTCTTTGACTCAAAAAGAAGCTTTCATATTCTTCCACATTTTTCAAGGATTTCATAATAAACATTTGTAATTCATTTGTCAACAAGCGAGACTCATTTATCATTCGATATAACATATGAGAATCAATGTCACATCACCATATTTTTTTTCCAAACGCTAATCGAAAAAAAAGCGACACCAAATTTTCATTGAGAGTTTATATCAAAAAATTTCCATAACAATTAATCAGATATAGCTAATGACAAAAAGATAAACTAAACTACTGTTAAACCGAACAACATTTGTATCCTCCACTACTACATATAAATATAAAACTTAAGGTTGTTGATTAAAGGATTTTGAGAAACATTGTTGCATGGTTAAATGGTTTTAAAAGAAATGAGTTTCCTAACTTTTTGCCATGGTTGTTCGTAAACATAAGCCTCGCAGTTCTTGATCGACTTATCATCTTTCACCTCAATCGTTAGCCTCCAATTCATGCCACCTACAATCTGAGTATCACCTTTGACTACACTTTGAAACTTCAAAGTGCTATTCGTATCTTTGTTGTGTTGATCAACTGCAAACTGACCCACCTCTATCACCGCAGGATCATCTGGGCTTGCGATCTCTAGCCAGCTGCCCACTGTCTTTTGGCCATTTTCAGCAAAACAAATACCAATACAGAAGGTCAAGAGAAGAGGAATGACGATGAGAAAGAAAGATGTGTAATGACTATAAGCCATTTTTTCTAAGGAGGGGAAGGTTTGATGCTATTCTTGATTTGCTATGGATAGATTGACATGTTGATTGTGGTATTTATAATCTGAAACGACTACTTGAACAGCAAATGCTCAACTAAATATGTTAAATGCCACATTAATATGTAATAAAGAAGTCAAAGTCAACGATTTTCTTCATGGAAACAAGTCACCGTTACCAACTCCAATATGGAAAAGAAGGCTTTAATTACATGTATTTATGTCCAGGTTGTTTTTAGCTCAAAATTTGACTTTCGTGTCAAAAGTTGAAATCGACCGAATGATCAATAAATGATGGGTTGGTTTAATTTTATATTTATTTTTCTATAAAAAAAGTTAAAACTATATTTTTTTTTCAAAAAAATAAATAAATAAATGAATAAAACTCGCATTCCCTTGAGGTTTCTCGGATGATCAAAATGTTCAACAAATATTTTTTCTTAGCATGATACCGTTATATGACTTTAGGTGGATGGGTTCCAAAAATAATATGTGAGCAATACAGGTTTAGGCTATGGGATTATAATTTCTGGACCCAAACATTAGGTTCGATTGTATATATGTGTGGGTTATCATCTTCAACAATTGTCTAATATTTTCGTCTCTCTATCAAAATTTTAATGTTTCACATCCACAAGATATACTTCTACTCCAAGTCCATTGGTCCCCTCCATGTGATTTGGATCTCTAAAAAAATGTTACATGAAACTAAAGTTGAATAATATTTGGTTAATTTGTGATCAAAGTCCATATAATAAGCATTTGGGGTTCTCTGATGGATCATTATTTTAAAATTAAAACATCAGCACATACCAAGCATTTTACAAACTTTTTTTGATGTTAACATTTTATCCATTTGAGAAAACTCAGGGGAATGACGGGTTCTTTTGAAAAAAAGGCAGTTTGTTTATTACCAAAAATAACGTGCAAACTAGATAGTCAAGTAAAAAAATTGCTTATTATATTAAACAAATTTAAGTTTAAACCATAAAATCGGTCGAGCTTATAAATATTTTATAAAATAGTCATTATATTTATATATTTTATTAATTATCCATAATATCGAAAAACATTCTCAATTATAAACTTATATTTTCAGTCATGTTATTAATAGTATTTTCATCAAATTGTTACGGTGAATTCTCAACCACGGCCAAAGAACGTCAAGACTAACAACATAACACAAGCAATAATATCATTTAAGTAATTTAACTAAAATGGATTGGAAAATAAAGGAAAATGCAAACCTAGCCATATTTGTTAACGACTTATTAGGTGTCATCAGTTAAGTGCTTAATATATAGTTTGAAATTCTTCCAAAAAGGAGGAAGTTTTTCAATGATTGAACCAACAAGAAAGTTAGAGTTTATATACATACCTTCAACTTCAAGATCATGTGCAATGACTTGAATTTCCTCCACTTGTTTGAGGACAGATTTGGTATCCACCATCTTGAAATTCATGAACTTTCCAATCACGAATTTCTTGGAACATGCCACTTGATTCCCATATCTCTCTTGCAGTAGGAATGGTAGAGTAGATATCATAGAGGGAATCATCCAAGGCATTCAGAATATAATTTCTGCAATTATATTCATTTGTGTTCCAAGTTTCCACAGCCCTTTGGTGTTCTGCCAATTGGGCTACAGTGGGTGGTGTTACTCCTTCTGTAGTGGTTATACCAGTGGGAGGAGAGGGAGAATTATCAGTGAGAACATTGGAAACATAAAGAGTTTTCAAATAAAACAACATCTTCTGTTACCATCTCCGAAAATCTGAGCCTTTGAATTTCTCAGGCTTTTCCACATGTGTTTTGATGATGGATTGTTGATCCATTCTTCCACTTTTTGATTTCTGTCTTATATTGTTATGACAGAAGTATACAATCAACAAAACCAATAAAAATAAAACAACGAAATTCAAATATATGTAATATACAAGAATCAGTTTACAGAAAACATACTTGAATGTTGATGTTTACAACAGAAACACAAATACGAAATTATGTAGATTGAGGCCTGCTAATTGCAGTGTCCTAAGACAAAAATTTCCCTGGTAGGGATCTGTCTAGAGGATACAACAATCAATCCAAGAAGTGATCTTGAATCTGTCGAAATTTCTATGTTCCCTTCATCTTCAGAGAAAAACGAAATTGTAAGAGAATTTGTGATAATGATTTTTGTAACCCTCCACAAATGACAGAAATTATGTATTTATAGGTATTGATTATGACAGTTAGAAACTGTCAAAACCGAAAATAACTCCCAAAATACCTGTCATTTAGTAATTACGAATTTAATAAAAATACAAATTAATTTCGTAATTAAAAAATATTTAATTAATCAGGAAGACCCCAAGGCCCAAGGCCCATCTTTTGACCATTAAATATTTTCTTGATGTTAGCCTAATTTGAGTCCAATTATGTTAGACCAACACCACAACCCAAACCCAATATGCTTAACCCATTACTTGATCTATTTGATTAAATGAGTGAGATAAGACATATAAGGTGGGAAAATGTTTTCTCTTTCACCAATGTAGGATTGTAATTTTTGTTAAGCAAAGTTCCAACATTAAGTTTTAGCCATAAATTAAACAAATATAAAAATAGTCATCAAAAGATGATGCATATCAATAGTCATCTTAAGGGCTATGATTTCGGTTGTTTTTTTTTTTTTCAAAAAGTCAATAGTATAAAAAGCAAAAATCCTAGATAAAAAAAGCTCAAAATCCCAAATGTCTTAGAGCCATCTGAGATTTTCTATGTTCTCACCTGCTATTTATTATTATTTTCCTGTTATATATTTGACATTTTGACTCCAAATTATGACATTTTGACTACGATTTGTGGTATTTTGATTGTGATTTTATACATTTTGACTACAATTTATAAAATATAGGGGAAATGACACAAATGCCCTACGAACTTTCTAGAGTTGGTCCTTTTAGTCCCTAAATGATTTTCGTGGCTTTATGAGGGAACAAAGTCGTTTTTGTCGGGTCGATTACGTTCTTTTGGCCAAAGTGAAAGGGTCACCCGGTTACCCCTTTGCCACATTAACATTTGTTGACCAATTTTCTCACATTGTCTTTGAATTGTATTTTCCCCTACCCTTAGACCCACATCTCTCTCTCTCTCTCACTCACTCACTCTCTCTCTCTAGATCATCACTTCCCTTTTACATGTGGGTTTTAAGAATCATATGTGGCTATTAGTTTTAATCCATAAACAGGTAAAAAGGTGAAAGAATATTCGGTGTTGCAAGGCGAATCTCGCAATTGATACTTCCTTGTGTTGTTGAAACGTTCACGAAGAGATCGTCGGGGGAAACTTAATAAACAGAGTCATTTAAAGTACGTGTTTTCAATTGTTCCTTCTATTTCCTCGGAGCATTGGATGCAACTACGACATAATCTAATTGATTTAATCGATGAACAAATGTTGTCTGTATACGGAATATGGGTCGTACGATTTGCAGGTACATAAGAATTACATAAGCATAGTTCAGAACTAGAATCACGTAATTTATCTGCCACTAAACACAATGTCATGTTTGACAAATATAGCAACCATATCTTGTACGATGTTATATTGACTTCCAATAACCTCAACCATTTTTGCACTTCCATCTGCAGCTGCTAAAAATAGATCCATTTTTTACTTCCATCTACAGAAGCTAAAAAGAGAAGGTGTTATAAGCCTTCACTCTCCACTTGATTCACTAAATTTTTCACAAATAAAAAGATTGGTTTTGAAAGCAGGTTCGCTGGATAACTCAAAAATTGCTAAGGATATTCATTGATTTGAAAAAGGTATTCTTAAAGTGGTACATAATGGGTTTTGATACAAAATATAAGTTTGTTTTTCACAAAAACTACAACGAAAGTTTTATAAAAAATAACAAGTTTATTTTTATTTTATAACAAAACCAAACCATCAAGGATCCATATATAGAGGTTAGAACGGAATAAAAACAACCAAAGAGTTTTTAGAATGACAACCTTTGAAGCCTTTGAACCCACTTGGTTTTGGGGTGTAGATGAAGATAGCAAAAAAATCAAAGAGCATGATTTTCTCTATGTGTATCCACCATCAAGAGTAAGGCACTTGGAATGCTAGTTCCTTCTTGTATTCTTGAGTGTCTTAAGCCTTTAAATGCTTAACTTAAATAAGCACTAAAGGAGACAACTCAAGAAGGCTTTAAACTTGTAATCTTCAAAAGACAATAACAAGAGAGAGTAGAGAGGTAGTTTCGTCCATGTGCTTCAAGACAAGTATTAAGAACAAAAACTAGCCAAAAACATGCAAGACACGTCCTTTATATACTCCATGCAAAGTAAGATCTTTATAATAAAATACTTTATAGTATTTGTAGCCTTTAGAAGCATGGGGAGACAAAGCATGGAGGTTGACAAGCAACCTCCATTCTTTATATATAATTTCGGCCATACCTTTATTTATAAGAAAGATTCTTCAATTTTATAAACTCAAAGTTTATAAAATATAACTTTGTCTTTAGGTAAAAGACAAAAGAATTCAACTAGTTCAAAAGGTTGTGCATGACTTATTAATTCAGACCATATGAAATAATAACTAGTTATACTCTCTTATAATTATTATTTTCATAAAACAATAATTATTCCCTAATTAAAATACAAGAATTGATATTATTTATTAACAATCACATTAATAATAAATATACAAAATGTGTCAACTTGATAAAGGTGTGGCCCTATATGATCATATATAATTAGCAATGTCACTCAATAATGATTCTTGGGTATATAGATTCAACAATCTCCCACTTACAGAAGATTCATTATAGACGGACATAGACAGTAGCTGACGTCTAGCAACGGGCTACTGCCCCTAACAACATATGAAGTGTGCCATCTCATCAACATCCAATTCCAGGAGCTCTAAACTACAGTTGTTACTAAAGGTGTGGTATCAATTATTCATTTGTCTCATATATCATTTTGAACATGAGATATGGATCTCGATCAACCTCATTTAGTGTTCAACTTTGAGTAAGGTCTTAGATGTCTAATTCTCAACGAATAAGAGGTACAAATACCATCTTGACTACATACGCCCATCAATGTAGCTCATGTCATACCCAACAATGGCCCTTATGACTGCCTTTAACGGAACATCGTTAAACCATGTCAAAGCACAACAATTCCTACACTTCAAGTCCTAAATATGTATCTCAGGTCTAAGAATACAAAGATACAACCTTGATCAAAACATCACTCTTGACTACGATCCATAAAGTGATTTTGATGCGGGTCAAGTCCAATACTTATTCTCCTAATCAAGTACATATGAAGTTGGCAGCAGCTCTTGCTATTCTCATCTCCATGAGAATCCACCAATCCACTCATATTAGTCTTACTTCATGGATGCTCCCACAACTATGAACAACTATGGACATTTAGAATAACCTAGTTGTTCAAGGATTTAAACATGCTAATATAAAACACAAAAAATATTTAATGAAGGACACATATCCAATATCTCAACTCATTACAATATATGTTGCTTTTATTGTTCCAATATCCAAATACTAAATTTCAATCAAATACATCTATTTATATCAACAAGGCCCTATAACACTAGCTTGACTTTTATGCTTTAGCTAATGAAGGATCTTTGTTAAGTAGATTTGACAAACTTGATTTGTATAAACTTTGTGAATACAAACATATTAGTTATATATATATATATATATATATATATATATATATATATATAAAACACATATATAGAGAAAACTATTGAGAATGTATTAGATGCTTAAATATGACTCAGATACCAATACTAGTGTAATGAGATTATTCATAGTCATAATGAACTATACTTTAAGCATCTTAGTATGTGGTTCTCCAAACCACAATGTACTCTAACTCTGATGTGTAACTATAATTAAAATCTACATGGAAACACTATCCATGTAACTTTCTCTTCATTCATAATAAGGATACGTCTGATTGTGACTTAGAGTCATCTCAATCTATTTGAAAGTTTAGCACATGTGTAACAGCTTTAAACATAGCTTTATTTCAAATACTCCACAGATTAGGAATATTTCTCCAGTTCTCGCAAGTAATTTAGAATGTTCCTATAAGTCACACAATGACTTGTTCTCGGGTTATACTGGTATCAATCGACATGCTCTAAGCATACGAATTATTTGACATTTATGCATAATCATGACATATATGATTAATCAAATTGTAGCAGCATATGTAATATAATCATATTATCTAGTTCAAATCATTTGCACTTGGATTTTTCTCAAAATCATGTCATGTGGTATTTGACAAGGTAAACTCTCTTAGAGTCATTTATCTTAAGCTCTTTAAGATCCTTGACAATTAATGCAATTTTACTTAATCCTTTAAGTTGCCATGATCTATCTATATAGATCTTTATTCCAAAACTCAGTATGTCGACTAAATATGAGACTAGGAATGTTACGCGCTCCCACTAGCTTCATAGAAACACAAGAGTAATCTTGATTTATAATAAAGTCACACTATG